TTTTCTGCATCTCTGGAGGAGCATAGGGGTCACGTCAGGGTGGTGCTGGAAAGGCTCCGTTTGCATGGGTTATACGCAAAGGCAGATAAATGCAGTTTTGAGCAGCACAGTATCCCCTTCTTAGGCTTAATTATTTCTACTACTGGAATAGCGATGGATCCACAGAAGATCTCCGCAGTTCTGGAATGGCCGGTGCCGTTAGATAAAAAAGGGGTTCAGCGGTTCATTGGCTTTGCTAATTTTTACCGGAAATTCATTAGGAACTTTTCAGGCCTAGTATCCCCCATCACGCAACTTACCAAGCAGGGAGTGCGTTTCAAGTGGACATCTGAGGCGCAGGAAGCCTTTGAGTCCCTAAAGAGGTTATTCACCGAGGCCCCAGTACTGAGCCATCCTGACTCTTCATTACCCTACACCTTGGAGGTGGATGCTTCCGAAAACGCGGTTGGGGCTGTGCTTTCCCAAAGGAAGGGCGTCAAGGAACTGATGCATCCCGTGGCATTTTTCTCCAGGAAACTATCTTCGGCCGAGAAGAACTATGACATAGGGGACCGAGAACTCCTGGCCATCAAGGCAGCATTGGAGGAGTGGAGGTACTTGCTGGAAGGAGCCGTGCACCCGATATTAATTTTTACGGATCACAAGAACCTTGAATATTTAAGAACGGCGAAGCGCTTGAGACCAAGACAGGCTAGGTGGGCACTTTTTTTCTCTCGGTTTGTGTTTCATATCACTTATAGGCCTGGATCAAAGAACACGAAACCAGATGCTCTTTCGCGGATGTTCGAAGACCCGAAGGAGGCCCACAAACCCGACACCATCCTGTCGTCTGGTAATTTTTTGGCATTACAGACGGAGCTACGTTCCCAACTACAGGCAGCATCCATAGGGGCTCCAAATGTTCCAGGGGTGCCACTACAGAATAGAGATGGATTATGGTGGAAAGGAGAACGAATCTTGGTACCTGACGAATCTCGCACCACGGTCTTGGGCCATTGCCATGACCATCCCTTGGCTGGGCACTTCGGGGCCCGGAAGACGTTGGAACTTCTACAACGTATGTTCTGGTGGCCCAGCATGTCCAAAGATTGCGAGGCTTACGTAAAGACCTGCGCGGTCTGTCAAAGGAATAAGCCTTCCAGGAACAAGGCTTGGGGGCTCCTGCGACCCTTACCCATACCTAACAGACCGTGGGAAATGATTTCGATGGATTTCATTGTGGAACTTCCTCCATCTCAAGACCATACCACCATTTTCGTGATTGTGGACCGCCTATCCAAGATGGCCCACTTCTTGCCTCTCAAAAACACACCATCCGCTGCGGAGACGGCGCAAATCTTTGTGAGAGAGGTGGTGAGACTCCATGGAATTCCTAAGGATATAGTTTCGGATAGGGGTGCCCAGTTCACCTCCAAATTTTGGAAAGCACTATGCGAGACGTTGGAAATCAAGTTATCTCTCTCCTCGGCATATCACCCACAGACCAATGGACAGACCGAACGTACAAACCAGACCTTGGAACAATATCTCCGATGTTACACATCATTTCTCCAGGACGATTGGCTAACTCTTTTACCACTGGCCGAATTTGCTTACAACAATGCTAGCCACTCGACTACTCAGCAATCCCCATTTTTTGCCAATTACGGCTTCCACCCGACCTTTTTACCTGACACAATTCCTGAAAGTTCGGTGCCAGCTACACAGGACATGTTGCACTTCCTTTCTGCAAACAATAAGATCTTACAAGAAGCGATCCTGAAGGCCCAGGAGGGCAGTAAGAAAGCCTTTGACAAAAGGAGAAGAGGGGAGCTTATGTTACACCCAGGGGACAAGGTCTGGTTGGCCACAACAAACCTTAGGATGATATGTCCATCGCGGAAATTGGGACCGAGATTTATGGGCCCATTCCAGGTAAAGAGGAAGGTTAACGAAGTGGCGTACGAGCTCGTACTCCCGGAATCCTTTAGAATACACCCGGTATTTCATGTATCGCTGTTGAAACCCGCGGCACCGGACCCATTCCCGAACCGGAGATCTAGGCCTCCTGACGCCATAAACGTTGATGGGGAGGAGGAGTTCGAAATTGAGACTATTCTAGACTGTAGGAAGAGGGGGGGTCAGACTCAGTTTCTCATTAAGTGGAAAGGGTATGGTCCAGAGGAGAACTCATGGGAACCCTCCCAGAACATTCATGCCTCTAGATTGATTCGGGATTTTTTTGACAACCACCCACACAAGAGAGAACTGTTGGGCATCCGGCGGCTGCCCGTAGGGGGGGGGCAATGTCAGGATCCGGGTGTTCTGCGGCATCGCGTCGGGCGGCGCATGCGCAGAACACCCACTCTCTCTACCCGGCGGGCGGTAGGACCTGGCCGCGCATGGCAGCGGCGGGGTTCGCGCATGCGCACTCGGGATCACGGACGCGCGCCTGGCACCAATGACAGCGGGAGGCGGGCTATTTAAACGCAGGAACAGGTATGTTAGTTGCCGTTTGGTCTTGTATCCTGTGTCCTGTATCCTGTTCCTGTGTTGCTGTATACTCCGTTGCCGACCTCTGCTTGTTCCTGATCCTGCTCTCTCCTGTTTGACCCCTGGCTTGCCTGACTACTCTTCTGTCTGATCCCTGGTACTGTATTTGCCCGCATCCTGCTGAACCTGGCTTGTGACCTGACCATTCTTAGCTCGCTCCTCTGTACCTCGCTGCCCGCATAATACCGACCGGCCTGTCTGACCACGCATACCGTATCCATCCACCCATCCATCCATCCGGTTTGGGTCAGACCTGTGTATCTGTCTGCCTCTTCCAAATAGATTCCGTTCCTGCACTCCCCTGTCAGTATTCTCTACCACCGCAGGACGCACTCGGGGGTCGCGACCTGGTTTCAGTCTGCACCAAGTCCATCCCCACCATCAGGGGCCCTGGTGAATAGCAGGCTGGGACTTAGACCCCGCGCCCTGGGAGCGTCCGTGCGGTGGGCTGCTAGAGACTCGAAGCAGTCTGGTGGCTCTACTGCTGCTGATCGCTTCCGCAGCCCCCGGACCCCCCCCCCCCTGCAGGTTTGCTTTCACCATGTGACTTGGCTCTGCTTGCCCATCTGCTGGCCTGAAAAGAGCCATGGCAGGTGCCAGTGGGTGGAGGGGAGAGAGGAGAGTGGATGAGCATCTGCTTCCCTTCCCTGCTTTGTGTGACCTGGAAGGCGACATCCATGACATCACTTACAGGTTACTGCTGTCACTATCCCATCTAGAATAGCCGGGGAAAGATGTATTGCAATACGGTTTGCATTGCAATACATCTAATGGAGCCAGAGGAGACATCCAGAGTCTTTTAGACCCTGCATGTCTCAATAAAGAGAGCCTGTCACTAAAAAAATCATCACATAGGGGACTTTGTGTCCCCTATGTGATGACCAAAAAAAAAAAAAAGTTGCGTAAAAACATTTTTTTGTAAAAAAAAAATAGTTATGCCCCCCCAAAAGAAAGTTGAGCACACCCCCACATATACGCACGTACGAAAGTAATTGCACATGTTGGGGTGCCTACATGTGAAAATGCTGATTGCAATACACATGTTACATATCGCCACATACTCCAAAATGAGAGTAATAATTCTAGCACCTCCTCCCTAGTGCTAAAATGATTACCTATAGGGGCTTTTGAAGCATTGTCTATAGAAGATATAGGTTACTGAAGTGTGACGCAATTTCATAGGGACGCACAAATTTAAGGTTTGGCATGTTGGGTTTCTATTTACTTGGCACAATCTGGTCTTTTACATTTTACCAAAAAATTTGGATGATTTATTGCATTTGTTTAGTGTGATTTTTACTGAAATGTTGTGTTTCCTAAACCTTTGCAATAATATCATGTGACATAAAAAATTGGAACTACCATAAAATGATTTTTTTAATCCTGTGTGCAAAAAAAAATATGCAAAAACGGCAGCAAAAGGGTTAAGGCGTTGTTTTCTTTCTATTATACCCTTTACATTTTGTGAGAGAGGTCCTAGAACATGTTGCAAAATGTGGAGGTTAGTGATAGCTAACTTTATATTATGCTTCAATATTACCAATAAGAAATGAAAGGAAAAAGAGGTTTTCCTTAGATCACCATATACTGTGAATAAATCTACATGGTTATTCTGGGAACACTGCCTACCTAGTGGTTTGAACAGACCCACTTCTAAATCTTGCAGCAAGCAAATGAACTGGGGGAAACCATATATTTAATAACCCCTATTTGTCAAAGATTTCCAAACTGCCCTCAGTTCTATAAATGCTGACAGAATAGTATATTGCAAGGCTTTCCATTTCAAACTCGCAGCTCTACAGTCTGAAGTCTTTTTAAGTGTTTGCTCAGTGGGGATGAATGTTTTTTTTGCCCATGATATATGCTTGACTTGAGTGGTCCCCTAAATGTGTGCTACAGATGAGGCAATTTCATTACCAAAGGAATGTTGATTCAGATAATTAAATTCATTACACAGGATGCTGAAAAGGGTGCATGTAAGTTCAAGCAGATAGTATAAAGACTGCTCTTCCTAAACAGGGGGCTTGAAAGAGCCCACCAGTTCTACAAGACCATATGCTGAGGTATGGAATTCATTAATTATAATCAGAATGCCACATAGTTTAGGATAAATGTTAGTGATATGGGTGGTTCTCCTAAATGTATAGACATTTTGCTGTAGTGCTTCTATGAGAATATTTTGTGGGGTACCTCCAGCCTTTATGAAGGCAGCCTGGTATTTGTTTTTTATTTTCTAATGCTTTTTGATTATTATTATACAGGATTTATATAGCGCCAACAGTTTGTGCAGCACTTTACAAAATGAAGGTAGACATTACAGTTACAATACAATTTGGTACAAGAGGAAACAGAGGGCCCTGCCCGTTAGAGCTTACAATCTAGGAGATCAATTTAAGCATTATTAATTAGTGGTTGTAAAGCCTAACTTTTTTTTATCCTAAAGTATTCCCTGGATTATGTAAAAAATGTTTCAGCATGTGTGACCAGGGGTGGACTGACCATTTGGAAACTCGGGCACTGCCCGAGGGCCCGGGGTCAGTAGGGGGCCCCGTGAGATGCCCCTGGTACCTTTTTCATAGGCTTTTTTGAGTTTGGGAAAGGACACAGGGGCCCCATGATCCCCTATTGCCCGGGGGCCTCATGAGTTGTCAGTCCGCCCCTGTGTGTGACTGATGTGAATGTACAAAATGTATATATGTAAAGCACTGCATAAATTGATGGCGCTATATAAGTACCTGAAATAAATAAATAAAATAAATGTGTATTGCCCCTTCACCAACTCTTATACTTACCATAGTATCACTCGATTCAGCACTGTACCAAAGAGCAGTGGCTCTCTCCTCTTCTACCCGCTTTTACAGGCTTTGAGGTCATTGGCTCCCACTGCTGTCGGTCAAATCATATGATGATGGAGCCGGGTGGAGGGAATGGGGGCGAGCCTCGAACCTCGCTCTCTGTGTCTATAGATACAAGCAGAGAGCCCACAAGTGTGTCACAATAGGAAGCAGTTTCCTGTAGTGGCACACCAAAAAGAGAGGAGACAGGAGCACTGGAAGAAGACAAGGATCGGGACTGCTCTCTGCAATACCATTGCAGAGAGCAGTTAGCATAGTTACATAGTTAGTCTGGCTGAAAAAAGACAAACGTCCATCCAGTTCAACCAAAAAAAAAAGTTATAATGCTATACCACAGTTGATCCAGAGGAAGGCAAAAAAAAACCCAACAAAGCATGATCCAATTTGCTCCTGCAGGGAAAAAAAATTCCTTCCTGATCCCCCGAGAGGCAATTGGGAGTAATTCTATTATCACATGGTTTCCAGTCTATTAAAGAGAGGTCTCAGGTTGTGCACACACACACACACTGGCTCTGAAGAAGAGGTGCTTTCTCAAAACGCGTCAGCCTCCAGCTATCCAGAGGCTTCCATTCTCCCACCAGACCACCCACAGGGGTTCCTGTACCACTCTGCATCCCTTGTGACATGCTTCCCATGTATATCTGATTTTACATCATTTTATTTTGGGAGTATATTACTTTTTATCAATAAATCCTATTTTTAAGGTAATGCACTAGGCCTGTGCGCCCTCTTTTTTGTCTTTCACACTCAGTTTCTTTTGGATATCCCAGGTCCGTTGAGGGCAGCAAGGCCTGCATTTCTCTAATCCATGTGGGGACAACAATAGCGGCGAGTCCACAGTTCAGCGCAGGAGTACATGCATTCGGTTGCTACATTCTTCTTTCTTTATAGAATGCAAGAAGGTAAATAACATTGAGCATTTACAGCCATTTTCATTTCAAAAGTTATTTTAAAAATATTTAATTTCCCAAAATAATACCTGTGATCCTGCCAAGATGGTCCTTGTTTACGCACTTGTGGGGTGACAGTGCTCTGTCCCTGTCTCCCAATTGTGCACCTATGTTGTCACCCTGTCACATACAGTAGGTCTCCATTGGGAACTACAAGAGACAATTTTCCCACACATTACACACATTCCCCAATTGCTACCAGACTACTGCACTTCCAGTGGGGTGGCCTTTTGTTCTTGGGTCCTGGGACTCTCCAGCTGTTCACCTGTGGTACAAGAACTACCCTGAACTTTATTGTGGGGGTGAATGTTAATGTAAATAATCACAAATAGCTGTTTGTGCGCTGAACTCTTTTACTGAATTATTGACTCTCAGCTATACTCTGTTATAGTGTCTCAAAGAGACTATGCTGTTCGTGTGTGTGCAGTTTTCAGAATAATATGTTCTTTTTTATTCTGCAGTATATGCATGCTCTTTGCCTTACTGGACCTGTATTGCATTTTTGCTTCTAACTTTTCACCTGTTTAATTAAAGTGTTACCCACAACCCACAACAGTAAAATCAATCTGTATATGCAGCAAAGCATGTTTGTTATACTCACCATGGAACCTAAGGGGTTATTCCCCCTCTTATCTCCTAGTAAGACATATCGTGTGGAGTCACTCTGCACATGCTCAGTTTGGTACGTATTGCTAAAGTGCTGGGGGTTTTTTTTCTAGGGAAAGTGCATGTGATCAGCACAGGGCCAATCAGCACTGTCCAGACAGACATCAGGGGTTCTTCATCTTCCTAGAGCAGAATGAAAATTCCTCCTACAAGCTTTAACCAGTGCTCTGCTGGACACTGATAGAAGTGACAAGACTGCTCTATCTGCTGATGACAAAAGGTATTTAGCAGTTTATATTTACTAAAATAATTGCATTTCCATGTTGTGTGTACTGTGGGAGACCAGGTATTGTGAATGCAGGGTCCTGGGTTTAGTAACACTTTAACTGCAAGTTACAATTACTCTCTGTCTCATTATTCGGCTGATTACTTATTCTGTTAAAGCTATAGAGACATCTAACGTCTGTTAGCAGCTAGAAAAGGGTAAAAACCTGTCTACACAAGAGGATACATTTCTTAAAGGATCACTTTATTGGCAGAAACAAAAGGAGACCGTCACATTCATCTCCTCTCACCTGCAATATACCAACAGGACTTTGTTTTTCCGTTCTTTGTACAGAAGTGTAATAAGTCGTTTGATATCTCTGATCTCTTTCCTGCCTGTTATTTCCAGTAGTAAGCTGCTATTGGATACATGACGATGCATAAAACACCACTGTCCAACTGTCAGACTTGTGCTGACTAATCGGCTAGACAAGGCAATGTGAACAAGACATCCTTTGAAGCTGACTTGATCTCAAAATTGGTATCATCCCTTCTTTTACAACCGGTCCCACCAAGCTGCGGAGAGATAAACTTTCTACAAACATGACATTTTCGGAAGAGTTATTTTCCTAGAACAGAACCCGCAGCACTGCTGCTGAAGCTATTTCCTGGCTTGTTAACTCAAGCTGGGTAATAAATATTTATATACAAATGCTGACTGTGATTTTCCACCCAGGAAGCTGGAGGGAGGCTGTTTAAAAATCTCTTTTGTAAGTGAGGTAAAACAGAGCCTTTGGCTTCACATATGGTACAGTTTTATGTTGTTGTTTGGAACCTTTTTTCTTTTTTTAAGGGAGGAGGGTGCGAGGGGAATAAATATTTACATTCTTCTTAGGAGTGCCTTGTGAGCAAGGATGGGAAATACAATTTATATCATATCATTGGCCAGTTTTATGTTAAGGAGACATTGCAGGCAGAGTTGTTCAACATATGAGCTCCTCTAGTCTGCAGGTGTTCACCCCCTCAATACCAGAATGTTACAACCTCTTCCTTTCTAGGCCATTTTTTCAGCTAGCATTGCTGTGATAGTTTGATTGACAATTACTTGGTCATACAACACTGTACCCAAATACAGTCATATCTTGGTTTAAGAACGCCTCAGTTAACTTCATTTTCAGTGTACAAATTAAAATCCATTATAAATAATGGCTCGGTTTACGAATTGTTTTCGCAATACAAACGGATTAATTGGTTTTCAATGCATTTACAAATTTTTTTTTTAATCATGTCCCTGTACAGTATTTATGCCTTTAAAGTGCACTTTATCAAGAGTTTTGAACAGATAGACTTTTGTTGACTTTTTTATGACCTTCGGAATGGATTAATTGGGTTTCAATGCATTTACAAATTCATTTTTTATCATGTCCCTGTACAGTATTTATGCATTTAAAGTGCACTTTATCAAGAGTTTCGAACAGATAGACTTTTGTTGACTTTTTTATGACCTTCGGAATGGATTAATTGGGTTTCTATGCATTTACAAATTCATTTTTTATCATGTCCCTGTACAGTATTTATGCATTTAAAAGTGCACTTTATCAAGAGTTTTGAACAGATAGACTTTTGTTGACTTTTTTATGACCTTCGGAATGGATTAATTGGGTTTCAATGCATTTACAAATTCATTTTTTATCATGTCCTTGTACAGTATTTATGCATTTAAAGTGCACTTTATAAAGACTTTTGAACAGATAGACTTTTGTTGACTTTTTTCTGACCTCCGGAACGGATTAATTGGGTTTCAGTGCATTTATGAATTCATTTTTTATCATGTCCCTGTACAGTATTTATGCATTTAAAGTGCACTTTTTTGAACAGATAGACTTTTGTTGACTTTTTTCTGTCCAGTACAGATTAATTAGTTTCAATGCATTTACAAATTATTTTTTATCATGTCCCTGTACAGTATTTATGCCTTTTAAAGTGCACTCCATAAAGAGTTTTGAACAGAGAGACTTTTTTTTGCTTTTTCTGACCTCAGGAACGGATTAATTGGTTTTCAATGCATTCCTATGAGAAACCTTGCTTCGGTTTATGAATTTTCTGCAATACGAATAGTCTCACAGAACGAATTAAATTCGTAAACCGAGGTATAGCTGTACATTTTATAAAATTTTTCTAACAGATAATACTTCCTTTTGGTGGTATTTAATAACTGCTGTTATTTTAATAGCTACTGGATGAAGGCAAAAAGATCAACAATTCCTGATAGCTTTCATTTACCTTTCATTTATAATATATTTTCATCTAGAATACATTTTTCATACATAGTTCATTATTGAAGTTGGTTCCTGGCATAAGCTCTTAGGTTGGCATTGTGTTAAAGCAGTGGTGTTCAGGCAAACAGTGGACATGGCTATGTTGCGCTGAATGCCCAAAAAAACATTGTGATTGGTAGCAATAAAGTTCTCCTTTTCCCCCAATCATTAGTGGTCAGTGGCATTTTAAGCTCTCACCTCCAAGTATTGATGACCAGTAGCATTTTTAATCTTTCCACCCCCAAGTATTGGTGCCCAGTAGCATTTTAATCAATCTTTCCACCCCCAAGTATCGGTGACCAGTAGCATTTTAATCTTTCCACCCCCAAGTATTGGTGGTCAGTTACATTTTAATTTTTCCACCCCCAAGTATTGGTGAGCAGTACAATTTTAATCTTTCCACCCCCAGGTAGTGGTGACCAGTAGCATTTTAAACTTTCCACCCCCAAGTATTTTTGACAAGTAACATTTTAATCTTTCCACCCCCAAGTATTGGTGGCTAGTAGCATTTTAAATCTCCCACCCCCATCATTGGTGGTCAGTGATATTTTATAACCCCCCCCTTCCCCGTCATTGGTAGTCTGTAGCCTTTTAAATCCCCCACCACCAACCCAAATTCATTGTTGGTCAGTGACACTTAAAACCCTTGACCTTGATTTATTAGCCTTCCAC